AGGGGATCTTGTCAATGTATACAAATGCCTGTTGGGAGGGGAATAAAGACAACTGAGCCAGATTCTTCTCAGTGGCATCTGGAGAAAGGACAAGAGGCAATGGGCACAAACTGAAATATAGGAAATTCCATTTAAATGCAAGGAAAAAACTCTGAGAGTGTTACAGCAGTTTTACCATAAGAGTGGCCAAGCATTGGGAAAGGCTGCCCCAGAGAGGCTGTGGACTCTCTGTCTTTGGAGATATTCAAAACCCAGCTGGACAAGGTTCTGAGCAACCTAATGTAGGTATGAGCAGAGGAGTTGGACTAGATGATGCCCAGAAATCCATTCCAAGCACAGCTATCCCATGACTCTAATGTAGAGCTAACAAAACCCTTGCCATGCCAGGCACAACTGCTCTCAGCCAGAGTCTTTGCCTCTTCCTGGGACAGAGATGAGAGGAGCACTCATCCCTTTCCCTCCAAGCAGGGTCAACAGCAAAATGGTAACAAAGAACATCAGATGTAAGAGATAAACCTGGCTTGTCCTTCCATCTCAGCACAAGTGGTCACTTGTGCCACCCTCTGGGAAACAGAGAGAAGAACCTGGCTCAGAGAGAACCACTGCTTTCCATCCTGGCTGAACTGAGAACATCTTCTCTGCTTGCATCAAGCTTAGACATGAAAAGGTCAGATGGCAGAGATAGAGAGCACCATTTTATGAGAAGATTGAAGGTAAAATCTTGTCCCAAAGGAAGGCAGCAGGAGCTCTGCTAACATCTCAGACGTACACAACTGAAAAATCCTTCTAAGTTGAAGAGTCCTGTCCTATGAGATTGTAGGCATCCACCTCATACTACCTTCTTCCTGAACAGTCATCTTAAAGCCATTTGGGTTTTCTTCCCACCCCTAATCTTTTCAAAAGGCTCTCTGCCTTGGTGGTCAGGTTCCTCTTTCAATTTGACCAAGTTAATACATGGCCAGAGTACAACCACTTGTTCTGGGGCCAGAATGGGTTTATAGCTAACCTGGGTTTTCTCTCCCTACTGGTTATCATCCCAGAAGCCTACAGAGCAGGCAAGGCATCCCTCAGCCTACCTGACCCTGTTCCAGTCTGAATACAGGTGACTCGGGCTGTGCTTGTTGTTCCAAATGAGAGTTCAGGGATATCCTGCACTGCCATGTTCACATTTCCCAAGAAATAACTCTCATAAATCTCAGGTGGTTGCATTTACTGAAACCCCTGCAGTTCCTGCAAAAGTCTTTTTGACTTTTTTTTTCATTAATAACTATCTTAATTACACCCATCCCAGCTAACGTGTGTGCTTTCCTCTGCCGCTGTGCAAGGGCAGCTCATCTGCACACAAAGTCACCATTGTCGATGGATAGAACATGGGGTTGGAGCCAGGAATTTATGAGGTCTTATCCCCAGCCTGCCAGTGGCCTTCCGTGTGGCCTTGGAAAAATAACACTTAACATCCTTGTTTTTTTAGCTGTAAAATGGGAATAATAACCTTTATTCATCCACCTCAAAGAGGTGATGAGAGGATTTTATGCAGTGCTCAGGATTTAAATGTTTCCAAACAAATTTTATAACAACCAGTCAGGATTTTTAAATTCATTCTCAGCTCATCTCTTGCCACCTCCTCTGCACTTGGTGATAGTGGTTGCTTTGCTTATTCCTCGGAGTATTCTACAGCTAGCTGGATTACAGAGCCGTTACAACCAAAATAGGTCTAAATGGAATGATTTGCCCAAATGTTGAATTATGTTCATTTCAAATGTATCCACAGTTTCCAAAATTTTGAACCAATCTTCCTACTACTGAAGTCAAAAAGGCAGAAGCAAGCCAGCTCATCTTTTTCCCATTTAAATAAAAATGCACCACACACACCCTGTTTACTTATTTGCAGTATCCCATCTCATCAAAAAAGCCTGTGACTTCGGGAGTGAATGTAAAGAAAATGTAGAGAAATGCATGGTAGCTTCTGAAGCCACCACAGATATGGAGCGGCCTTTGCAGAACACATTTTTCTATCTTATTGATGGAATCGATAAACGAGAGGGCAGTGTCCAGGTATGGCTGAAGCCTTCACATCAGCCCACATCAGATTCATTTATTTGAAGTATGAAGATAAAAGTGGGGAATGAGGAAAGGGTTGTTAGCTTCAGCACACTGACCCCCGACACAGCACATTTGCCCCCTGAATTTGCCCCTGAAGTAATTTCAACACGTGATCACCAAGGAACATCTTCCATTTTTTCCATTTTACCAGGGCAATTAATGCAATTACTGAAATGATTGAAACTTTTGTATATACAGCTGTCTGTGTTTGAAAATATTAAAAAATAAGTACATTTCAAGGAATGGAGTACCTTCCAGCAAGAATCACTGAAAAGCTGGTTGCTATGCAACTCAAGTATTGTCCATATAATTCTTATCAACAGATGACATATTGTATAAAATAATATAATCCTCTTAAGAAAAAAAAAACCCACAATACAGTAGAAGGCTGTTCAGGGGTGGAGAATTGGCAATAGCTCAGAGTGCTGTCATAAACCTGATGTTGATGGTACATAACTTCATCAGTTACAGAACCATAATGTAATTATTATGATTATTTAAATGGCACCCTTGATAATATATATAAATTGCCTACAATGAAACAAATGAATCTGAAGATATCACAGCTACATGCTTTCAAAAGAAATGCTTACTCAGACAGGACTGGGATGATATTTTCACATTGTGAAGCCAACCAGGCTGCTTCATTCACACACTGCTTTAACTTCCTTTTATCATATACTTTGAATACATACCCCTAAAAATTGTTAGTGCTGGTGTGTTTTAGTGGGACAGTAAAATACTGAAGGCTTTGTTCTAATTCCTCAGAATAGGTTCAGAAAGTAAGAACAACACACCTTTTCTCTCTCCTTTTCCACTGCTACATAATCTCAACCCTCCAAAGAGAAACCTCCTCACCTCTGCTCCCTCCTCTATTAGGTGCTTTAAAAATATGAACATATAAAAATGTATTCTTATACAGCCAGGGCATGCAGGCCCCCATGCCATCAGGTGGAGGAGCTCTGAAATGATACCTTTTACACTAATTTTACTTTTTTTCAGAAAGTCATAAATTGCCTTTCATGCAAATAAGAATCAGATAGAAAAATGCACAAAAAATTATCTTCACGGTTATTTAGGGCAAGTTTGTGATACTAGAATTATTCTTGCTGAAGCCAGCAAGAGAACTCAGGAACTAAAACATCATCCACCACAGATTATGGATCTCAAATCCAGAAGCAGTCTATCCACCAGCAGATTACATATTGCTCCGTGCAACAGCTATTTCTCTGATGTAGCCAAAGACTCACCAAGAAGTTAAGGTTTCCATGCTTCACCCCACTCTCCTCTCTAAAGACGATTAATATGAAATCACTAACTTTTAAATTATCAATGGACAATGCTTTACTCTTCACAAGAAAACAGATTCCTAAAGTAAAATGCAGTCTACCGTAGCTATTGTCTACGATCAGAAAAATGGCAGAAGTTATCATAGTTCAGATTGGTGCAGATTTATAGAGCTAAAGATGGACACACATAACAATTATGAAATATTTATGAAATAGGGACAGCAAAGAAGTGACTAACCCATGTGCTACTTCTGCTGGCTTCCACCACTACTGCAATATCAGAATTTTTTAAGAATTATTAGTCAATCTGCAATCCCTCAAACTGCTGCCATTACAGCAATCACAAGGATATTTCATTTATTTTGCAATTTAATGTTAACTACACACACCATGAACTTTCGATTACAAAATGGCAAATGTGACCTTTTTTACCTTTTATTTTAGAACATGCATCTGATTAAGCTTAACCAAAACACTTAACTACATCATTGTCTACATCACTGCAGGAAGAGCAGAGATGGATCAGTGTGTTTAGTTCTCAGATGGAGAAGCTCAGACAGAACAGTTTATCCCACATCCAGGTAACCAGTCTCCAGCAGAGTCCAGACAAACACTCAGAGCTCCTTCATTTGCACCAGGGAGGAAAACTCTTGGCTGGTGCTGGGCTCAGCAAACTGGTGAATGCCACTGGAGCTTCACCACTGACACCATCTGTGCTGGCTCTTCACTGACAGCATTTCAGTAACTTCCATAAACATACACGGAGTCTTCCAGAACCCAAGTTTATTCCATGAACATGCAAACACCAGCAACTCCAGTCCCAGAAAGGGACACTAGATGTTAACATTCTGCTTTGAGCAGTTGACTATGCTGCTAAAATTGCATGTCCTTCACCGAAGCATTTATTCAACATGTCTGAAATGCCTCGTTCTTGTTTCCATGGAATTTGATGTTGATTTAGCAAAAACAGGACACAGGTACTGAGCAGTTTGATATGTCTGAAGCCCATTTAGCATTTCATTCCTCTTTACCCGAATTTTGCCTGTAGAGTGACCCCTTCCACAGAAACAGCAAGAGAACACTCGGTATTCTTAATTACAGATTTGATTTGCAGAGCTCTTGCCTTCCAGCCCCTATCCCACAGAACTTGCACTTAACTTTAAGCACATGTGTAGTCCCACTAACATTAAGCCCAAGTTTAGAGTTTTTGGAATGAGGCTGTAGCCCTCAGCATCTTGCAGAACTCTTCTTATGTTTATTGTTACTCACACACAATTCTACCACAACATCTCATGTTTTCTTTAGCAACCAAAACATTCACTATGTTTCATGGATAATTCCAAACAAATTTGAAAAGAGAGACTGCCAGAGCTAAGCAGCAGCTTAAAATAATACAGGAAAAACACAGAAGACATTGATATTATTTGAAATGTTTGAATGCTAAACAAATACCTATAAATACAAAAAGCTCTTTAAATTCATAGGCCAGTAAGGACAAGGTATGAATTAAAATACAAACCCAATACATGTCACCAGTAACTACACTGTTCATAAAAGAATGAAGTTCAGAGATACTGATATCCTCCATTTAAATTAACCTTTACTTACCTTGCCATAGCTCAGCAGGATTATCCTCACCAAGACAACGTTAATGTGAGCACCCAGGGACTCATCATGATAAATTTCATTAACCTGCAAAAAAAGGTTCATCACTTTAACCATGGTGCTGGCAGCAAGTAACTATGCAAGCAGTGACACAGCAGTTCCTGTTAGGCACTGTCATTAAGCCAAAGATCATTTTGTGATCATATATATAAAATGGGGAAAATTCTACCAATGTGAGAGGGAATGTTTTATTTTTTAAACTCTGTTGTAGCCTCCTAACAGGCCATAACTCAAGAAATAATTTAAAGTCAACACATGATCAGAGACTTCATATTAACAGGTATTTAAGCACCAGTCTAAATGGACTTATACCTATCATGGTGCTGCTGCTAAGAAGGAAGATTCCCAGCTCTCCCAACTCCATCCCAGCTGTATGTGCCCACTGGAGCCCAGAGCACAGTAATCTAAGCACAATCCTGAACAGATCTCTGCTGGGCAAGACCGTGCATGGGGCAGGGAATGAGTGAGCAGAGGGACAGCACGTCTCTGCTGAGAGTCATTTGCTAGATCAGCCCAGCTGCACCCTGTAACTTCCATCTGGGACCCATCACATCACACTCTGACAAGAGGATATACTTCCCTCGAAAAGCATGGTCGGCCACATGGGCTGGCTCTATTGTGTGTCAAAACTAATCAATGTTAAACTTTGCAAGCAGAACAAAAGCTACAAAATGCCAGCAAATTAAAAGCTGTCTTCTTTTTTATACTAGAGCTACATTAACTGAACATGCACATGGGGAAATCACCCTAGGAACACTGAAAAGAGAACTGTAAATATTTAGAGTGGAGAATTAAATGTGGATGTATAAAGATTACTTAGAAAACACTACTACAAGCAAGCCAGGCAAATATTAACTGGTAAAGGGGCTGTGATGAAGACTACATGAGACTCGGCCAAGTAGCAGGGGTTGAGTTGTACAAATCAGAAAAGGCAGATGAGATTCCCTGCAAGGCAAGTATCTTCCCTTTCCCTTGGTAAAGGTTGCAACAAACCAGACTGCTTTGCTGACTGGACCTGATTTCATTTATTCCTACAAAATAGATTCATTACTATAAGCTAGTAAGTAACTTTCAGAAAACCTTTCATTAGAAATGTAGTAAATAATGTCCTGTTTCTTCAACTAGCCCTAGATTTAATGGCCCATCTTTTAGCTCTATAAAAATCATTAAAACTAAATACATCAGTGTAGGTTTTGCTAAGCAATCCCCATTGACATTTTAAAGTGAATTTTAATTCATTTTATCAGCATTTTTTGAAATAAGAGCCTCGTTTTATGCCTGGTAAAAGTCCAAGTTTTCAAAAGTCCTGAGCGTCCTGTGCTGCTGGTTATGAGACAGCCTGGCTGAACCACGGCTCCAGGAGCAGACTCACACCCCGCAGGGCATCTGCCCAGGCACCTGGGGAACAAGCTGTGGGATGCCCAGGATCCAAGCTTGTTATCAGTTGATGAGCAGATCCTTGGCTGGAAGATGGTGAGTGAGAAGCCCGTGGCTATGACTGGCTTAAGGGTCCACTATTAAAATTGTACTGTAAAGTTCTGTTCAGATCTGCTTTGTAAACAATACTTCTGAAAATTAGATCATTTATTTGCACTTCTGAGTAAGACTTTACAAGACTATATTCCTGTATTTATTTAGAGGAGGTTTAGGGGTGATCTTATAGTGGCCTCCCAGTACCTGAAGGGGCTACAAGAAAGCTGGGGAGGGACTTTTTACAAGGGCAGTTAATGGTAGAACAAGGGGAAATGGCTCTAAACTGGAAGAGGGCAGGTTTAGATGAGATATTAGGAAGAAATTCTTCACTGTGAGGGTGGTGAGACAGTGTCCCAGGTTGCCCAGAGAAGCTGTGGCTGCTCCTCCCTGGAAGTGTTCAAGGCCAGGTTGGATGAGGCTTTGAGCAACCTGGTCTAGTGGAAGGGGTCCCTGCTGATGGCAGCGGGAGGGGGACTGGATGATCTTTAAGGACCCTTCCAACCCAAACCATTCTATGATTCATTCTATGATTCTATGATATTTTTAAAAATCTTTTACTTCTACTTTGAGGACCATTACTGAACACAGATTTATAAAGAGGTAAGATATAAAGACACAATTTGATTTACAAAAATTCTTTCACCCAGGAAAAAGACCCTTGCGTGTTGTCAAGGGAGGCAGGGATATTAATTTGCCTCACACTCTGTGTAGTGGGAAGGGAGCACACGCATCAAGGATATGAGGCTGAAATAAGCTGTAAATGACCTATACATGAAATGAGTGCTGAACAAAAACTCCTGTGTATAGAGGACAGTAAACACAGCGTGTAAATAAGTATTTAATTAGTTCATAAAGCATAATCCAAATTGCTGCACACTGCTCTCTCATTAACTTCCAAAATTTAACCTAAACCTCTTTTAACAATAGTTGAGTAACAGAACAACAGTATCGCTGTTGTGTGCCAAAATGAAACTTGGCTTTAAAACATTGATGGAACAGAATTGAAGCACTGTTTGACTGTTCATGCAAATGACAGCTACCAAACAAACTGTGAATGAACAGAAAAGCACAAGCACTGTAAAAAGCTGCTTGGTTCTCTTGGGATACTGGATTGTCTGCAAGACAGTGGGTCAATTCAAAGCTCTGGGTCTTGGTTTCATTAATAAGGATGAGTCCAACCCCTCTTCACACAGCAGCTGAACTGAACCCTTTGCACCTTTCTCTAAGTTAAACTGTGGCTTTACTAGTAGTGTCTCACTGCACATAGATAATACACCAAAATAGATGCTTTTCTTTTTTTCAGCATGACCTAAATTGCATCTATTTGTTTCAGGAAGTTACTAAAGAGACAAGATCCAAGCGATTGAGTGTTGTGCTCTCAAACATTCAAGAAAAGTGCACACATTGAAAGGGCCTCCACAATCCCTATTTCACATTTTTCCAAATTTCCTCCTGTTGAAGTAACAGGTGGAGTTAAGCTAATGCAGTTTATTGTATAGAGCACAAAATGTCCAACCAACCCGTGGAACTGGAAAGCTCCAGGCTCTCATTCAACACAACTGCTGAAATGTTTGTTTCAAAGCAGAGATAACCAGACAATGGATATATATGTTCAGATGTCTGTGTAATAACTACAAAAAAGTTTTGAAAATGATTACGTAGTACTTTTACAGCACTGCATCTTCGTATACTTCAGTAGGAGATCCTATCATATCAGCATAAGAAAAATCAGAGTCAATCTCTTGTTGTTTTTAGATCAGTAAGTATAAAATTTTGTTGCTGCATAGGAAAAGAAAGTACACAGACACCATCCCAAAATCACAGCTCCTTTAATGGAGGCAGTGAATGCATCAAATCTGGTTAGATGTCCTACAGTGATTCAGCATTTATAGAGGGTGATGAAGAAGGTTGGGTAAATCTCAAGGAAATCAAAGCACGGCGGAATACTGTAAAGAGACTTTTATCAAGCTATTGTAGTTCACAAACTATTTTGGGATAACTTGGGTTTATTTTTGTGGGATATTTAAATCATATCAAAATATGCATTTGTATTTAAAGTTTCTGTTGAGAAATCAAGCTGGCACAGATTGGTGCTACATAAGAAAAACAAAGACTTTATTTTTTCTTCTGTCCCTCTCCGCTTATTTAATAATTCTTCTGCCCAAGTGAGTTTCAAGTCAGCACAGTAAGCACACAGAATATATATTAAAAAAAACCCAACCCAACTAAAGACAAGCAAGTATGTGTGAGCTGCATCATGCTTTGCACAAGAAGCACTGTGAAGTTTTTATTATTGAGCAAAGCAGGGTCTAATCCTAAAAGGGAATTTTGAAAACTGCTGTAACACAAATGGCAATAAACAGGCTGCAGTTTTGTTAGTCTTGGTGCAGAGCAAGTTACCTGCTGATACAGCTGGCAGGATTTTTAGGGCAAGTCAGGTGGTTCTCTGAATCTCTAATTAAACCAATGTGCAATAGGAGAGAAAGAATAACCTGCATATTTTGGCAAGTCATCGGCAAACTCATTCATGCAGTTTGAAGGAGTTCCCAGCCTTGCAAAGTTTGTTAGTATCTGCTATGCAAAAGACATCTCACTTCATCACAACACGGCTCCATCCCGCTGAACCATAAATCATCGCTCATGAGTTCATCCCCAGGCGCACCCTCTGCAGCTCCACGCATCGCGCCGTACGGTTGGGTAAGCACTGCTTCCTCCGGCTCCCTGAGCACACATCCCTGATAGACATCTAATAGTCTCAACCTCTGGCTACCATCAACCTCAAATGGATCTGACCCAACTACAGTGGTCATCAGAGGGCCCATCTAACCATTGAGAGAGGGCACAATACAAGATGCAGTTTATGCATCTGGCTTTTCAGCCACCACAAATTGCTGATTCATCCAACCCAATTAGGCTGCTCTTTGATCACCCAACATCCTTACATAACTACTGTTGGAGAAACTGGGGATGGCTACGTGCTCTGGGGTAGAGCGGGGACCATGAGCGATAGTGGAGGAGGCTGGAGAGCATCAGCGGCTTCCCCATGGGACAGCAGAGCTCCTGGCAAGCCATTGTTTTGAGCCCAGCCTGAGATGCAGCTCATTCATCGGATCATAATTATCTGCAGCAAAGCCTCAGTGCCTGGTGGGCATCCAGTGATTGTCTATTTCTGTAAGAAACGGCTGGTTTGAATTACAGAATAGGAACCAGAAATGTCATGGTGGATACTGAGCACAAACTTTTGTAACCTGACCCTCCCAAAAGCGTTCCCCTCTCACTTTATTTTTCTGTTTTCCCACTTCAAACACCACTATCCTCTTCGATTTTCATCACCTCTTTTATGCTTTTGAAGATACCAGATTAACATTTCTAACATTCCCAAAGCTTCATCTTAATCCCACAGGAATAAAATTACATCAATTCCTTGGGTGGATAAACTCTGGTCACACAGAAAGTCATCAGGCAAAATCCAGGGCTCCCAGTCTCCCTTTCTAGTCCTTACAAGGCATTTCCTCATTTCCTCAGAGAGGAACTCTTTTTTTTTTCCTGAAATC